CCAGTGATACTTCCCTCTACAGCTAAGATGCTGAACAACAGCTCAACCTGGAGCTGGGCTGCTGTGAGTCGCTGGCGACGGCATAGGCTGCAACCCCTGCTGCAGTGGGTTGCCATGGGCTACCATGTGTAGCCAGCAGTCAGCATGAGCAGCCAGCAGCCACTGTGAGCAGCTGTCCAGAAGCCGCGACTGATCTGCCTCACCTGGGAAGAGCGCAATGATGGTGCCAACTTGGGCCAGTGAAGCAAAGTCCTCCACAACTAGACTGAAGAACAAAAGGACAGCAACTTGTCTGTTCCCCTCCCCCCAACTCCCCAGCGCTGTTCCCATACCCCAATAAAAAAAACCTAAAAGTTTGAGAACAGGACACGTTTTAAATGTAAAATCCCCATGTAAAGTACAGCATAGAGAATACAGTCAATAATCAACAACTAGTCTAGTGGATACTAGACTTATTGGGGGGAACCACTGCATAAATTATATCAATATCTAACCATATACTGTACTTCTAAAACTAATATAAATAATATTGAATGTCAATTGTAATTGACAAATAAATATAAATAAATAAAATGTAATGGTCCCACTTCATACTCAATCCAACGAGTAGGGTCAGGCCCAGAACCTAGTCATGCGATGACATTTCAGAACACAGAGTGGAGGGCCCCAACAGCTTTCATAGTATGAAAGACAGGTCACATACAACATAAAAAAATCCAAGTGGCATCAGATTTATCACCACTGGGAACTGGAGGACATTGGACACCAGAAACATCAAGGGAAGATGCCTCTCAACTTGGCATATGACACTTAAACTATTCACTAAAAAGTGCACTAGAGAAATTTTCAATCAGGCAAGCTCTGAAAAATCCTCTTGTATTGACAGTTCTCAGTAAGTTATTATAGAATGGGTCCACTGGGACAGTAGTAAGACAGATAGACGGACATGGAATCCATGGGGACAAGGGGGGTGCAACATTCCAGAGTAGAAAGTTAAATTTGAGATTAAATGAGGTCTCAGGATGGGGGCTACATGGCACTGATACAGACTGGAGAAGGATGTGGGGCTTCAGGAAACCGTCTGGAAAGAATGACAAGGAAGCTGATGGACTTTTTAATCTGTTTGATTGCATTATACTTCCCAAAGAACTCTGCAATAATGTAATAATAATTACACAGAAAGTCAATTCAGCCACCAGAAGCTGAAAAAACAAGGACCAGTTCATCTCTTAAGCCTCTGGAGGAATCACAGCCCTGCTGACACCTTGACTTTGGATGTCTAATCTTTAGAACCATGAGAGTAAGCCTATTGATTAAGCCACCCGGTTTGTGCTAATTTATTACATCAGCTCTAGAAAACAAATATAGCATGTAATCCTAATTTATTACATAGCTTAGTATTTATTTATGTGTATATCCACAGGACACCAAATAACTTCTACACACACACACACACACACACGTAGAACCTTATTGGAGGATAGAAGAAAGATACTTACCTACAATGACAAGAAGTCAGTAAATAATTGATTGAAAAACTCAGAAACAGCAGTATATGTTAATCACTTATGAGCCATGAAATGGATAGCAAAATGGCAGCTGAGAGTGGCATGTAGCTGCTTCTACAGATCAGAATTCAAGGGTTAGACAAATAATTGACACTTTTCATTACATGTTTTGCGTTTCTGTGATTCTTTTTGTATTATACACAAGTACATATATTTCCTGGATGAAACCAAACTTGTTCCATAACTGCATGTAGTACTTTGTCAATGTGAAAATCCCCATGGGGCCATGGGTACAAAAAAAAATACAGCTACCTATTAATTCAACATGAAGTCCACAAACAGACACTGGCATCGAAGAACTGAGTGGAATCAGAGAGAATGTCCGGTACCGTGCTTATTAAATAAGCAGTGCTAGAAGAACAGGTTGAGAAGGGGGTTACTTCTGGAATACTATAAGTAGAATAGAAGTTCAGGGGAAATGATAAATGTGGATCTGGTGACATGCCCAATCAAGCAATTTGCCTGTGATCATCATAAAAGTGTACAAACCTGATTCTTCTCCCGGCATCTCTGGTTCCTCTTGGTTGGAGTCTTGGGGTCCCTGTGCCTGGGCCATCTCTGAAATAAACAGTGATGGTGAGATCTGAGATTCTCCAGGCTAGAAATGAGTAGGCAATGTTTGATGCTTTCAGTAGAGCCAACTATTTCTCTGACAAGCTTAGGATGGAAGAGATGGAAGGAGTCACATCCCCCAGCTAGAAGGGTCACACATGACTAGTCTCTGTTCACTGATTTGTCCCAAGTGTGTAGAACAGAGCCCAGCACATAGAAGACACGCTAATATTTTTGGAATAAAATATCATAGGAAGAAAAGTACTAAGAATTGGGTTGTAACCCCAGCTCACCAATGAGTTTCACATAACCACTCTGAATGCCCCATTCCCCATGAGCTAAAGGAACCCTTCTGTGTCTCACGCACACAGCAGCAACCCAAATTCCATGGCCCAGTACTTAGCACCTATGAACCAGTACCCATAAGAAATTAGACTCTAAAGGAGATAAGGCTCTAACATTTATGATTCCATTGATTACCCAGGTTTACAGGGCTTCATCTGGGTAGCAAGCTGGGTCCTGAGATTCCTCCTCACATTCCCTGTTCCTTTGAAGAACAGGAATCTATTATTCTCCACCCAGAGTTGCCCAGTTCTGTGGAGCCCCACAGGCCCCAGCGGCAGAGTCAATCCAGAGTTTGGCTAGCTCTCCTGGCATCAGGGAACCCCAATGGCAATCTTTTCCCAGGCACAGCCCAGTAAGGCAAAGATGGTCTCTGGTCACTGACTCTGTTTGTTTGTAAGCCAACTACGTGATATGTTGCATTTCTGTGTTGCAAGTGGTCTCAATGTGAGCCTTCCAGGGTATGACTTTACTGTTGAGTATCAGGTGCCATGACCTCTATCTTGACACATTAAATTGGAGACTCTATATCTAGCTGGGGCCACCTGTGAAAGAGCCACGCTGTTCCAGATGAACAGTCTGGAATTTAAGTCCAATTCCAAGAAAGAGAGGAAAAAAAGGAAAGAAAAAAGGAAAGAAGAAAGAGAAGGAAAAGGAAGGAAAGGGAAGGGAAAGGAAGGGAGGAAGGGGGAAGGGAGGAAGGAAAAAAGAAAGAAAGGGAGGAAGGAAAAAAGAAAGAAAGAAAGAACTGCAATTTTGACTATCGGTGGAAGCCTGCTGAACCATAGCCTCACCTCCTCAAATCTGTTGAAATCGTGTTGGGTGTGGTGAGATGGAAAACTAACCTCTAGAAACCACCAGGAAAGGTGATGCTATTAGAAAATAAAACAACCCAAAGGTGAACAAATGATTGAGGACCTACTCTGGGCCCCATACCTTCTAAGCATTTCATCCTGGAAACTCAGAGGTGGGTACACCATTAGCCCCACCTTCAAAAAGAAAGAATGGGGGCCCAGTGGTAAATCATTTGCAGGGGAGTACATTTGGGAAGTTGGAACCAGCCTTTGAATCCAGGCAGTCAGGCACTAGAATCTGAGCTCTTAAACCCATAGTTGCCAGAAGACAGCACACATGTGCCTGTAAACGCACGTTCACAAACTTACTCACAAATACATATTCTACAGCTCCGTTCAAGCACAGAGACATTCAGCATGCTGTGCATCCTAGAACATGGAGCTAATGGGGCAGCATAAGTGATCCTGACATTTTTATCACCTTCCATATTGCTTGTGAGATGGATGTGGGCTAGGGCTGCCTCCTGCATAAGAGGCCTCCTCTGTAAGCCCCACCCCTTTAGAAGGCCAAGTGGGAACCAGATGAGGACCACTGAAAGGGGCTCCTGTGAGTCCCCATCCTGTCCTCCTGCTCACCAGAAGATACACAAAGCCTGAATTTCCATGACTCAGTCTCCAACACCCAGAGCTCTGATAAGGAAGACTATGCTGTCAACTCAGAACTCATGCCCTCATTTTGGGGGAAGAGGAGCAGTATATGGTCAAGCACAGAGTCTCTGAAGACCCACTGCCTGGGTTAAGTCCAAGCTCACGACCTTGGGCAATTTACTTGAGCTCTGGGCCTCAGTTTCCCTGAGTGTAAGACACGAATAGCAGAACCTCCTTCTTATGAGTGTCATGAAAAGTACCAGAGTGTAAGACATGAATAGCAGAACCTCCTTCTTATGAGTGTCATGAAAAGTACCAGTGCACAGACAGCACTGGGATCAAGGCCTGGATTGTAACTGGTAGCAGCAAAGTTATGATTTTTTTTCTCCAGTTCTCAGAGGCAGTCAGTTCTGTCACAAGGTGACATATGAGTATTGCTATAGTAGGTAAGGTTGCATGATACAAACAACATGGGTTTTTATTGTATAGGAAAATGGAATCAGTGATACATTAAAAAGAAATAAAAATGGTACACCTGAAACTAATATAAAATATTGAATGTCAGCTACAATTTTAAAAATGTTTTTAAAGACAAGCTGAAAAAAATGGTAGCACAGTTTTACACTTGCTAACTGGTTATGAAACATACTACTACAATTAATCAGTAAATACAACACTACAATAAATACTATAATACTACAATAAATATTACAATGCTACAGTAAGTAAATACTACAATGTTACAGTAAATAAATACTACAATGCTGCAATAAATAAATACCACAGCCAAGTACAGTTTTGTTTTTTGTTTGGTTTTGGGGTTTTTTGCATTTACCTAGTGTTTCCCTTGGGAAAAATACCATGCATAAGCAACTGTGGAACCCCCGCCATGCTCAAAGCATCCCCTCATACAACGTTGCATTGGGACAAATGCGCCTCTTCAAGATACCACCTCACTCCAGTCAGAATGGCTATCATCAATAAATCAACGAACAAGAAGTGCTGGTAAGGATGTGGAGAAAAGGGAACCATCGTGCACTGTTGAAATTGCAGATTGGTGCAGCCGCTATGGAAATCAGTATGGAGGCACCTCAAAAAACTGGAAATGGTACTACCTTATGATCCAGCAATTCCACTCTTAGGTATCTATCCAGAGAAATCCAAGACGCTAATTCAAAAAAGGATATGCACCCCTATGTTTATTGCAGCTCTATTCACAATAGCCAAGACATGGAAACAACCAAAATGCCCATTGGTAGATGACTGAATTAAGAAACTGTGGTACATTTATACAATGGAGTATTACTCTGCTATAAAGAAGAATGAAAGCTTACCATCTGCAACAATATAAATGGACCTATAAAATATTATGCTAACTGAAATAAGTCAGACGGAGAAAGACAAATACCATATGATCTCACTTATATGTGGAATCTAAACAACAGAATAAATGAGCAAACTATTCAGAAACAGTCTCAGAGATATAGAGAAAAAACAGGGTTCCTAGATGGGAGGCGGGTAGGGATGAGGGAGAAGATGAGGAAATTAGAAAGCACAATCAGTAACCACAAGATTGCCAAGGGGATACGAAAGACAGTTTGGGGGATATAATCAATAATGTTGTAAAGATTTTATAGGGTGTCAGATGGACACTTGTCTTATTAGGAAGACCACTTCATAGACAGTGTAGCTGCCTGACCACTGCAGTGTACACCTGAAGCTGAATAATACTGAATGTCAACTATAATTTAATATATACATAATCACAGGATGTGGAATGTAGCATACAGCATAGGGAATAGAGTCAATGGAATGTAATGGCTATATATGATGTCAGAGGGGTAGTAGATTGGGCGAGAGGGGTTATCACTTTGTGAGGGGTGTAAATGTCTAACTATTACATTTTTTTACTTTCAGGTGTACAAAACAAAGTAAGAAAAGCCTTGTAACAGAATGAATGTGTCTCTTTCAATTCCCTCCCATATTAGAGCTCCCAATCTTTACAGCTTTTAGACCTTTAAGCTTTAAACCTTCATAGCCCATCAGGGAGATTCTTTCTTAGGGGTAGCAATTTGGAAATCCAGCAACAACCTTCTTGCTCCCATGAGGGTAGCTGTCTTCTTTGTTCCCTTCTGCCCTGTCCCTTAGATAGCCCCCACCCCATCCCTCTGTGCCCTGTCACCCCGACCCCCCTCTTTCTCCCCAGCCCCAATTCCCCCATCAGACACACTCACCATTCATCTCTGTTTTAACTTCCTCACACAGTGAAGTCAGATTCATGCTCTCAAAGATCCTGAGGGTCACTTCCCACATCTGCCTTTCTGGGAAGTATTCACTCAACAGACACAGCAGGTTAGTGGGATCAGCGGCCTTCAAGTTGGCCCAGGGGATCTGCTGGAAGTTCTCAGGCAGCAGCTGTGGGGACTGGAGGCCAAGTTTGAATTCCTCCAGCTGGTGCTGATCCAGGCCCCTCAGATGAGACAGGAGCTTATCACAGGTACAGTTGTCTACAGACACGTTAGCAGAGGAGTTCATCCTGCCAACACACGATTCCTAGCTTCACCTGAGACCCGTCACATCCACAAAACAAATAAGACCTTAGAAAAGAAAGTTGAAACCATAAGCCAAGACTTTCACATCCTCCAAAACCCTCTACTCTGTACCCTCGCTATTTATTTTCCCCTTAGCACTTCCTGCTACCCGTGTTTGTGCAGATTTCTCTCTCTCTTCCACAAGGATGTCAGCTCCCTTTGAATGGAGATGTTGCCTGTTCTTCGCTGTGTCACCAGTGCCTGGTGCACACGAGGACCTCGGTGACAGGGGAAAGGAGTAAATGGTACTAAGCACTATGCTCCACCATGAATTCTTATCCACCTTTCATTCTCTAAACAACCAGTCACACACGGGGACACTTAGGATCTCTATCTTATAAAAGTGACAATGACATGACATCTCCAAAAAGTTGTATAGAGAAAAACAAAACAAAACCCTGCTTACCTGGATTCTTGTGTTCAGTGAAAACGTCCTTTAAAACTGAAGGCAAAATAAAGATGCTTTCAATAAAAATCTGAGTTGCCAGGGGCTGGGGAAAATGGGGAGATGTTGGTCAAAGTGTACAGATTTCCAGTCAGGAGATGAAACTTTTCTAGACATCTAATATACAGCATGGTGGCTACAGTTAGCAATACTGTATTGTATACTTGAAAATTGCTAAATAAGAGTAGATATTAAATGTTCTCACCACACACACACAGATGCAGAGGTGACAGGTGACGGGTGTGTTAATTAACTTGATTGTGGTGGTTATTTCACGATGTACATGTATATCAAATCACCATCTTGTACACCTTTAGAAATTATGTCATACAACTTAAATATGTACAATTTTAGTTTGTCAATCTTAATTCATTAAATCTGGAAATTTTTGAAAAAATTTTCTCAGCTGAGAAAATTCATTGCGAGCAGACATATATACCACCAAAACTATCCAAAAATGTATGGCAATCCGTAAAAGAATAAAGTGCAGAGAAATAGTCGATATGTGGATAAACGTGAAAGAGTATTGACCCTTGAAAACAACAGCGCTGATCTTCTGTAATTTATAACATGTACCATGAAATAGGAAACAGTAACAAAAAAGACAAGAGGGAAGTACATGATGCTCAGGTGTTTCAAGGTTCTTGTGTTAATCAGAAAGCCATGACGTAATCTCAGTTGAACTGCTAGTCAAAGATGAATACTGAACTATAGTGTAAAAACTGTAATAATAAGAGAATGGATAACTAAGAAAGAGAAAAAATTGAATACAAAGTAATTTATTAAAAAAATGACAAGAAAGGAAGAACAAAAGAACAGAAAAACAGATGTTGGAAAACAAATAACAAGATAATATACTAAAACCCAAATATGTCAGCAACTATATAAGTGTGTTAAACACTAACACTAAGGAAGACTATCAAACTGGATTAAAAATAAAAGGCATACTTCAAGTCTCGCAGTATAAAATATTTAAAGTAAATTAATGGGGGAAAAATGCAGCATGCATACCCTAACCAGAAGAAAACAGGTGTAGCTATATTATTATCAAAATAGGTTTTAAGTAAAAATTACTACTGAATATAAAGGACTTTTTATAATAGGATCAGTCCAGCAGGAAGGTATAGCAAGTTCTAACAGTATAGCTCCAAAATACATAAAGCAAAAATAGAACTAAAGTGATGATTAATTGAAGTTTTAACCACACATCTCAATAACTTAGGGAACAGCAGAAAAAAGTATAAAGATATATAAGGATATAGATTATTTGAACTATACAATTAACCAGCTTGACCTAATTTGATGCGTATATGTAAAACACTATATATAACACTACACCCTACAACTGCAATAAAACATCCTAATTTTAATAAATGGTCAGAACACTTCAATACATTGTAAAAGGATCTCCCCATCTAGTTAATTAACCCATCCATTACCTCACATATACAGAGGTGCCAAAAACCTGTATACACATTTTAAGAAAGGAAAAAACTGTATTAAAATTAAGCTGATGGTAACCACTTTGAGCACCTCTTGTAATTGCATAAGTCAAATGTGACTTGTCTTCATCTTATCGGTGTATATTGAGCATTATAATTTTAATACAGTTTTTTCCTTTTTTAAAATGTGTATACATTTTTTGGCACCCTCTGTATATACATGTATGTAAGTGAGAACATTTCAGTTCTACTCTTAGCAAGTTTCTATTATACAACACGGTGTTACCAGCTATAGTCACCATACTAGTCACATGAGATCCTCAGACTTTATTCATCTTATAGCTGAAAGTATTTACCCTTTCACCAAACTTGCCCCTATTTCCCCCATCCTCAGTTGCTGGCAGCATGGATAAACCTGGACAACATTTCATTAAGTGAAATAAGCAGACACAGAAAGACAAGTATGTACTGCATTGTGTCACTTATACAGTCATGTGCTTTGTAATAATATTTTGGTTAATGACAGACCCATATACATGGTAGTTCTATAAGATGATAGTGGAGCTGAGAAGTTCCTATGGCCTGGTGACATCTTAACTATTCTAACATCCCAGCACAGAGCATTACCGTTTTATGCCTCTCAGTCCATTCATAGTGATGCTGTCAGCTACAGATACCTGGGGGCCCTCCCTTGGCCCTGGTGAGCTTCCCACAGATATCTCTCATTTACTAACCAATGTGACAAATCAGACCCAGCCTGGTTGTTCTTACTGCGATTGTAAGATGCCCAACAGTGATCACCACCAGGAAACTTCGAAGGAAAAAAGAGCTTGCTACTTACAGGCCTGGGAGCAAAGAAGGCAGGCCAAGGGCACACCCCAAGGTCACCAGCCCACAGGGTCTAGGGTTCTGCTTTTATTGGGGTCAAGGGTGGAGCCTAGGGTTTCACACTCACTCTTAATTGGTGAATTTATAACTTATGAGCGAGAATTTAAAGAGTGGGAAGAGTAGAAAAACAAGTATCCCAAAGGGTCAGTTATTGAAATCAACCAAGCACTCTAAAACAAAGGTGCCTCAGTGGGGGCAGCTGGTCTGGCTCCTTACCTAGCCCTCACCCCACTGGCTGGTGAGGTGTTTCCTTCAGAGGCTCTGTGATCAAGGCTTCAGGTACTTGCATTACAAAAAGGAAAAAGCCAGTTGTCAGGGCTCACACTACAAATACCCACGTGTGTTTGTGGTGATGCTGGTGTCAACAAGCCTACTGCGCTGCCCGTCCTAGAAAAACACAGCACATACAATTACTGCATGAGGCTGTGCTATCCAGATGTGTGTAAGACACCATAGGGTGTTCTCACAACCACTGTGTTGCCTGACGATGCAGTTCCCAGAATACATCTCCTTATGTGGAATCTTGAAAATAGTCAAAACCCTCAGAGTAAAACAAGGGCAGCCCCTCTCTTACAGCATTTCCATTAGCAAACCCGTAATTGCATTCTTTCTCTGCCCCTTTGGAGATGGATGGAAATCTTTGAAAAATCTAAATAAGCCTCTTGCCAGGGTTATCATCTCTTTGAGATGTGGAGGGACTGCTTAGTGGGTCTGGGTTTCCTTTGGGGGTGATGAAAATGTTTCAGAAGTAAAGGGAATGTTTGCATAATGTGTGAACCTGCTAAATGCCACTGAAATGTATGCATTAAATGGGTGAATTGTATGTTGTGTGAATTTCACCTCAATTTAAAAAAACTGAAAAAAGTATAAGGGGGAAAAAAGCATCTCAGGTGAAATAATTAAGATATTAAGGGGGCATTAGCAGAGGAAATGTGAGTAAAAGGAGCAAGAAGGAGTGAGGGGTGTTCTTTCCTTCTCAGGCATAAGAAATGCCCCCAAAATAAGAGCATGCCAATAAAGGGCATGCAAATCCTACTTGGACTTATATGAAAGACTTTGCGTTTTTAAAACAATGGTTCTCAACCCTAGATGCACATTAGAATCACATGAAGAGCTTTAAAGCAACAATATTTATATCAGCTGTGCTTCCCACCTCCATAGGAGTGCTGATATAATTGATCTGGGGCGAGACCCATTAATAATATATTTTCTAGACATTTCCCAAGTCCATTTAATATGAAGCCAGAGTGGACAGACCACTGGCTCTTTATCGTGGTTCAAGCACCTGCTCCCTCAACAGAAAGGAGCTGGAAGCAAATAGAACACCAGAAATGGAGAAGTCACGGGGTCTACCCCAAACCTTTATCCTCAGTGGCTCACTCCCTAGATGAAAAAGACAATGACTGTCAAGGAGAATTCTGAGCCCATCTTCACCCTATCATAGGCCCTTCAAGACCCAAAGACACTTTGGCTCTGATCAAAGTTTGCCTTCTGCCCCCTCAACCAGAGGGCACCTCCTGAGACATGCAATTGTCCCAAAATCCAGCCACGTTCTTCTTAATGATTAGGTGGAAGGCGAGAGGAAAAAAGGTGTATAAATACATTCATCCTGTCATTGAAGAAGCAGGCAACTATTTCTAGAAGAAAACCAGTAATATGTTGAAGATAATCGGCCATCTGCCTACTGATAAGCCAAGGACCAAGGGATTGTGCTGAGCATAGCTCTCAACTTCTTGTTCATAACCCTGGAGAGGCAAGGATAAGAGAGAGATAGTGGCGGTAGATACTTGACTAGTGTTGCCAGATTCAGGAAATAAAACGACAGGATGCCCAAGTTTGGATTTCAATTCAAATGAGTTTGAATGCCAGGTAAACAACAGATGATACTTGGGATATACTTCTATGGAAAAAAAAAACTTCTGCTTATCTTATATGTAATTCCAGATGATGCCAATTCCAGTTGAACTTCAGATAAACAAATATTTAGGACATATACAGTAAAAAAAAATATTTGCATTTATCTAAAATTTAACTCCAGATGGCACTGATTCTAGTAAAATTTGAATTTCAGAAAAAAAATAAATGATATTTGGTATATATATGAAAGAATTTCAGATAAACACCAAATAATTCTAATTTAACTGGACAGCCTATTTTACCTGGCAACCC